TATTCTAAAAATATAAAATTATATGTAATTGAAAAATTAAATATTTAATAATATTTTATAATTTTATTGTATATACACAAAATTATTTCATGTGCAATATAAAATATAAAGATAGTATATAATTTAAATTGATATAAAAATATTAACATTTTGATATTATTTTGAGATGATTATATAAATTGCAACTTATTTCAAAAACTAATCTAATGTACTGAATAAAGAATAAATAAAAGAAAAGAAAATGTAATTTCATATAATATTTTTAAAAATTTTAATTATTAAATAAACAATGTTAGCAAAAAAAAAAATATTGAAACAAAATGACAAAATTATGAATTATAAGAATTCAGAAATTCTAGGTCAATTTTTGTGCATCACTTGAAGCAATACACAATTTTGATAATATTCAAAAATCTTAAAATATTTTGAAAATTGCGGGCCTATGCTTTTGGATGGTGTTTTTGAATAATTCAAATGATTCGTCGGAATATAGATTATTATGTTATTGGAATATACAATTGTTATTTGTAAACTATAGGTTTGGCTGCAAGCCAATCATTTTCTTGAAAATATAAAAAGTTGAAGAAAAAAACAAAAATAATAATAATAAAAGTATTTAAATTTAATATTAAATTATATTAAAATTAGCTGCAATTTTTTCGTTTTGTATATGTTATATTTATTGTTTTTTTTATTTTAATTATAATTTAAATTAAAAAATTACAATATTGATATTATACATAATATTATACTCGAGATCGAATTATAAATTCGCAAAATAAAATAGGTATACATTTTCTTTGCAATAAAAATATAATATAAATTTTATATAATGTTTTATATGCTTAATATTAATATGATTATATAATTTATTATGTAAATATATTTTATTTTATTTTATTTTTTTTTTTGTAATACACAAATAATTAATAATTATTATTGATTATTGTTATGTTCTCTATTACATTTATATAATTAATTATGTAAATTGTATGAATAAACACATGTTCGTATAAAAAAAAAAATATTAAAAAAAAAAGAAACTTAATGATTTTTATGTTTTTTTTTTTATTAATTCTAATAAACAAATAAAAAATTTTAAAGCACAAAAATTTAATTTTGCCTATACCTAAAGTTATTATTTTTTATTATTTTAATTAAAAAAAAAAATAAGGAAAATCAGCTAAATTACTTAAAATACTAATTAATGTAGCTAAATAATGAGAAAATTCACTTAATTTAATTAATTTTTATTTTTTAATTTTATAAAAAGTACACAATATATTTTTAATAAGAAAAAATCAAGAATGCTACGGAACAAAATATAATGAATTTACAATTATTGAAATTAAAAAAAAAAATTAAATTTGCTTGGAAATTGACAAAAAAAAAACAATTAAAATGAAAGTATAAGACTCCAGAAAAATGATTTTTTTTTTAACTGGAATGCAATTGGTTTTAAATTAAAAATTAATTCAAATTAATGACTTTTTTTTTACAAAATTTTTGTTTAAAAATAAAAAGTCAAATTTTAAAATGCTTAATCCTTTTATGAATATACATTTTTTTTTTTCTGTTTTAATTCTTTAAAAAGTGGTTGAATGGAAAATTTAATAGAAAATTAATTAAAGATTAATTAAGAGTCTTACAAAAAAAAAAAAAACATTGGGACATAGAAATCCGATTGTATATTAGAAATTTCAGAAATCTTAAAAAATACACACTTTTACTTTATTTGAAAGCCGCATTCGGTAATAGTTTTGTTAAGTTTTATATAATTGTTTCTTTTATTAAAAACTTGAAGATAAAATAAAAGAAAAATAAATTTTTATAACTTTAATTGTAGGATAATTGAAAAATTAATATTATAATTTCATTGTAATAATATAATAAAACAAAAAAAAAACAAGCATAATTCTGAAAATTCTATACTTTTAATTTTAAAAATTAATCGGACAATATTTTTTGATCCTTTGCCAGCAAAATTTGTTTAGATATTAACAAAAATTATGACCGCGTCTTATTTTGTTATTACCAAATATATAATTTGAACAAAAAAAAAAATCAAAGAAAAAGTTATTTCTAAGAGAATTTTCATAATTTTATTTAATTATATATATATAATTTCTTACATATGTTTTTTGTTTGTTAATTATATTTTCTTACATACATAATATGTGGGTTATAACTTCTTATAAGAATACCTTATTCATTGAAATATGAAAAAAAAACAAGAGTTTTAGTTTACCTAATGACCCTTAATAATTCAAGAAGAAAAAATTTGTTATTTTTGGTATAGATTCATTATTTTTTTTTTGATATCTATTTAATAAATGTAAGTTAATAATTTTTTTTGATGTTTCCATTCATTTAATTTTTTATGTAATCAATTGCAATTTATTTAAAAAAAAAATTTATTAAATAATACAATGATGAAAGGGAAAATTGGAAAAAACAAGGTAAAGTGTATAATATCAAATAATAATTTATTTTTATCGAATTTTTTATATTATAAAATTAATATTTTTATAAATTTGTTTTTTTTTTTTTATATATGTAATATTTTGTTTTAATTATAGCAAATCGCTTAAAATTACAATTATTTGTTATTAAATTATTTAGTTCAAAATTAGAAAAGAAATTTTTTTTTATTTAATAATTATTTTGGAAATACATAAATAAAAAAAAAATAATAGAAATAAAATTACTAAATATTTTAAATTTTATTCACAAAATGATTTTATTTTTAATTGTTTTGTTTTTTTTGTGTTATATTATTGTTATTTGTTAAATTTCTTAGTAGCTCTTAGAATTTTTAATTTGTATATAATATACTATTTTTTTTTCTTGATACATATTTTACTTTTAATTTTGTATATTATGTACGTATAGATTTTATATAAGTAATTTTATATAATTAGGTATATGTAACATATATAAATTTATATATATAATATATATGTATATATATATATACAGTATTTATAGTTTTTTTTCTTTTCAATACCTAAGTTTGTTTATTTAAGTTCAAAAAAAAAAAAATGTTTTTCTTTGTTTTCTATATACTATTTATGTTTTAAATTTTCATTTTCTTTAAAGTTTACTATTTTAATTTGTTTATAAATTATGTGGTTATTCAAGTAACTTTATTTCAAATTTTATTTGAATATACATATTTCTTTTTATGTTTATTTATTGAATTTTTATTAATTTTTGTTTATTTTGTTTTTTTTTGTTTTTTATAAATAATTCCTAAATTTTAAAATTTTCTAAATTAATTTCCATTGAAAATTAATTCATACATAATGTTTTCCTGTTTTTTTTTATTTCTTTTTCTGATGTAAACTTCTTCTGTTCTTTTGTCTGCTTACCATCTCTTCATCAGGATACGTTCTTTTTCATCACAAAATAAAAAAAAAAGTTAAAATAAGTTATTGTTGCTGTGATTTGGATTCAATTCTAATTTTTTTCCAATATAGAAGGATATTAGATGAATTAAATTCTGAAATATAATTTAAAATCATTAATTTTATATAAAAAGTACAAAAGAGAAAAAAAAAGGATTGATTTTTAATTAAATTGCAAATGAAAATATTAAAATTTATTTCTATGCATGTGTAAAGATAGTATATTGCTCATTTGACTCAGGAGACTTGATATATTGCTTACAAATTTGGCAAAATCTTATATTAAATGTTTATTAATTATCAAAGTCTCATGCAAAGTCGTGCAGATGCTTTAACTTTTATAATGAAATTTCAGTATAGAAAGAATTTGAAATTGAAAGAACCATAATAAGTGATATGATTTTATTATTTACAAAATAGGTTTATATGGTCACTAAGTAAATTTTTATAATTTTTTAAAATTGAAATATTATTATCTATAACATTCAGAAAAATCAATTTTTGCATTTTTATTATATAAAAAAAAAATTAAAATGAAACAAAAGAATTAAATTGAATATTTACATTAAATTGTAATATTAAACAACCATTAAACATATTCTGTTAAGTGCATCATTTGAGGTGATACGATATTATTGAAAGCTATTTTATTTTTCAGTGTAGAATTTCGAATTTTGTGATTGATTTTTTTGAATAGCTGTATATCAAGTAATGCGACTTACAGAATATGAGTATATGTATGTTGTTATTGAAGGATTCTCTGACAAATTCTAGTCAATTAATTGGATAATAATTCAATCAGAAGCAGACAATATGTATGTATATGAGAATACAAAAAAATAAGGAAATTTTTAGCTTTTACAACGATTTTAACCTAAGAAAGGGTATTATTGGAAATAAATCAATTTTTAAAATAAATACTTCATTGCCTTGTTTTTAATGTAAATACGAGTATATTTGAATTTTCTTCAAAGGTATTCTAGAATTCGTTAAATTTCTTTCAAGTTACCATTCCGAACAAAAATATGTATTTTGTTGTTTTATGGATCTACATTAGATTATTTAATTTAGGACAATTTTTTTTTGTAATTTCTAAGTGTACAAACGAAGCAATGGCCCTTATTATGAAAAAAATATATCGTACGATACACGATATTTCTTATTGCAATACTATTAGAAATATCGTGTATCGTACGATATATTTTTTTCAGAATAAGGGCCAATATTCGTTAAACCATGTGGTTAACAAGTTTTTGAAATATTTACTTCAATATTCTCATATTTCAAAGCACAAATCTACCAAATATCGAATTGATGTTATTGAGTCGAATTGGTCGAATTGGAGATTAATGAGGCCTTTTAACGAAATATATAGAATACCCTTGTTTTAAAATTCGAATGTTTCTTAAAAAAACTACATATTTTAAATATAATATGCTTACTTGTTTTTTTCTCTAATTAATATTTATGGATGTATTTAAGTATATAATATATATTGTATGGGAATATATATATATATATACATTTAATATTTTTTATGATAAATTTTCATTATTTTTTCTTATGTTTTTGAATTCGAATTTTACTATTATGTTTTTGTTTCATTAATTTTTTGTTGTTTCATTTTGTTTATTTTTAAGTTTTTAATTTGTTTGTTTCCTTTTTATTTTTTACTAAAATACTAGCAAAATTAAAATACTTAATTGATTAATATTATTATTTTTTTAACATTTTTATACTTTTTTTTTATATAATTTTTTTTTTTGTTTTATTATTTTTTAATTTTTTTTTTTGTTTTTTTTTAAGTCATTTTTTAAAGTTTATTTATTTATCTTTTTTATTTAATAATCTTTTTTTTAACATTGAAAAAAGACAGTTTCATTTTAGATCGGTTCCATTTTCTTGTCTTTGCTTTTCTTTTTGATTTTGATCTTGGGAACCTTGTGTTATTGCAGCACTTGCGGCACCATGTTGTGTTTTCTGTTTCAACATTGTCCAATCATATGTATAATCGTATTGGTGATTCAGTGTACGGAATAAAATTCTAAAAAGAAAAAAAATAGAAAAGATTAATTTTTATTATATTTAAATTTAATAATAATAGAAAATTTTTGAATAAAATTTTGAACAAATTTTTGCTATTTGAGTAAACAATTTTCATACAAAGGAAGTTGAAAACAAATTGAAAAAAAAATTTAGCAAGAATTCATTTCTCTTCATGATAGTGTTAGAGAGAAAAGAAAAGAAAGAATTTAATTCAAAGGGCAAATTATAATTTAAGTAATCGGAGGGTTGATTATAAATTAAACATATAAATTAAAAAAATTGTACATTTGAATCATAAAAATATTAATGGGTAATTCCTTAAAAAAATTTGAAATATAATATTAATCAGGCTCTCATTTAGTTTACCTATTATTTAAAATAAAATAAATCGAATTTTCCAAACTAATTTTATATTTTTATAAAATTAATAAATATAAAATCAGAGGTGCAAAACATTTTCGTATAGCAGAATAATGCATCGGAATAGAGTGGAAAACAAAGAAATCAAAAGTTTACGAAAAATACGTAATTAAAAACATAAAAATTAGAGTAGCTTGTATATATTAAACCCATTGCAATAATCAAGAGATTTGAATGGCACAAAAAAAAAAATCAATATGCACGTATAACTATAAATGAATAAATATAATAAATATTTAGGTATATGCATATGTATACTAAAGTATAAATACGAAAATATAAATACGAATATTAAAAAATTCGAAATTGATTTAATTTATGTATTTAATCGCCAATAATATATGATAAACAGTGTCCGAAATATTCAATTTTTCTTATTTATTTTTATAAAATGTGTAAAATTATCGAAATAAAAAATAAGCAAACAACGCATTTAAAAATGAAAAATAAAATAAATAGGGAAAAAGAAAATACAAAAAAAAAACCAAAAATATTGAATAAAAATAGAATATGGAGAATTTCCAATTTTTATGACATAAAAATTATGTGGATTTTTAATTTATTTTATTTTTATGTAAATTTTATTTTTTTGAAACTACAAAAAAAAATTTCTTTTAATTTTTAATTTCAAAATAAAGCTTTCATTTATAACACATACATTTAAACATTATGTATTAATTTGCATATATTTTTTTATTTGCATATTTTCATTTTCTTTTTTTCTTACACATTTTTTTTGTTGTCCCTAGTCTAATTTCAATAAATGTAGTATGTTAGTATAGGCAGTCATTTTTGAAACTTTTCCAAATTGATGCTTAAGAAATTAGCACCATCTATTATTGAAATAAATAAATATTGTATATGTACAAATACATATCTATAAAAATGTAGTAGTAAAATGTAAAAAAAAAGTAAAAAAAGTGAAATTGCAGTAATTTTTCGAATTTTACATAAAAAACGCGTCTGTCAACTCTTAATGTAATATTTTTTTTTTGAAAAAATTAACAAGTTTTGCTTCACTGGTGCGATTCTTTCTCTTTAATTTATAGGAAAAATAGTTTTTTCTTAATTTTTGTTTTAAATTTATGAAAATTATTGAAATGTGAGGTTAAAATTATTTATTTTAATGACATATTATGTATGTAGTGAACAAATCTTTTACAAATAGCAAAGTTTAAAAATTCTCACGATAGGAAAATTCAAAATATAATGAAATTTTCGAATTTGACTAAAATCAAAATAAAATTGCTAAATTTAAAATAATCATAATTTGTTGGTAATCGCTCGTTTGTTGCAACACTGACATAACACTGACATAACACAATTTTAAAATGTTGGAATTAATATATTTTTCTAATCATCATAGTATTATTTTATATTTTATTGTTAGTAATAAATTTTCAAGCTAGGGAAATGTCGTTTTTGTAAATAACTTGGAAATCGTATTTTTTGAGTTGTACCACTGTTTCAGCAAATGAAAGTACGAGTATAACTATATTATGAATTTAGTAAACATAATTTATAAGAGAATTATGTTAAACTTTTGAATTATTTTGCTTTGAAAGAAGGTTAATTTACTCGAAACTTCAAAAATTGTATTTGACATTTTCATTCACTCCTGTCTTCAATTTATATTTTGTTTTATTGTGCCTAAGCAGTATTGCCTTCTAAGAGAGTTTGTTTTACAAACAAAAATTTTAGAAATTTGAGAAAAACCTTTACGCGCAAGAGTCATTTGTTTATGGGCTTGATAAATTTAAAAGATTCCAGATATTTTTTATATTCAGTCCAAAGTATTTGTAAGAATGAGGATTTATTATAATTTTAAAATTTTTATATTTTATTGCAAATTGTTATTATTTATGCGAAAATTTAGTTTAATTTATTTTGAATATAAAATATTAAGGAATTAAAATAGTTTTGTTAATAAATATAATTAATCAGCTTAGAAAAAAGTAAAAAATTTTGAACAAAATTTTCTTGAAAATTTTTTAGGAATCCAAGATTGAGAAAAGTATAAAAGTTGATTTTCAAATTTTTCATTCATAATAAAAATGCTCAAGTGCTTTTGTAATAATATTGTTACATTATTTAATATATAAGTACATATGTACAGGTATGAATGTAATATATCGTATATATACTTTATCACAATGGTTAAATATAAAATTATCGTTCCGACAATGATAAATCCAAATACAATACAATACAAAAAAAAAGTGTATAGCAATATTTCTTCTTTTTTTCTGATTACACAATTTATGAATAACTTATCATATTTATATTACATGCGCTTATATACGGGCTTATATATGTAGATATGTATTCATATTTATGCATACTCATATTTATAATCACCTTCATTAACAAGTTCGAATTTCATAACACAGTGCAAGCATAATAAATGTTATGTATTTTTTTTTTCTGTTTTTTTTTTTGTAAAAAGTTCATAAATTGTAAGGTGTGTTAATAAATTGAACAAAAAAGTAAATTACTAAATAAAAACGATATTCATTTTTTTAAACTATCAAGGAGGAGGAAACGAAAATATTTCAACTTTAATAATAATTGTATTTTATAAAATTATTATTAAAGTATTTAATAAAAAAGAAATACAAAAATAATTGTAATTATATAAATAGCTATGTAGTTTAAATTTCCTAATTCCTGAGGAGCTGCAAATGAAATTAACCAGAAAAATTATTAATTTCGAATTTTTTCCTTCATTCTTATGATTTTTTATGTGTTTAATTTTTAATCGAAATTCATTATAAATTCGATAATTTATTTATTTATAATGGCAACATATAAACCGAAATTCAACCTTTATGTTATCAATATTATCGAAGCTTTCGATTTTCGAACACGTATACACTTAAAAAAAAAATAATATGAGTCACACTGTTAGAAAAATTATTACGATATCTGCATTCAAAATTTGTTTCTATTTTTTTTCAAATAAACAATATTTATAATTAATTTATTTGTATATACATATGTTGCATGTGTGTATTAATTTGAAATTAGGTCAATGTGTATAATGAAATTCTCCTGTTATTTATAATTCAAGGGAATAATGGGGTGGGGGTGATAGGTATATAGAATACCTCACAATGAAAGTTTTGATATAAATTTAGTCATGCATGCAACTATAGTTTATGTTTAACAATCTGTCAATCAAATATACATTTGTACATATGTTATGTACATAATGTTGCTAGGACAACATTTTTTTTTTAATCAATTGTAAATTAATACTTTTAAATTACTTTTCAATTTTAAAAATCATATTATAAGGCATGATTCTTCGACATCCAAATTAAAGTAATGCTATACTGTAATACTATATTTCTCATCCTACAAATTGTAAGCTTGTGATTTAGATGCCAGAATTGTAGAAGGAAACCCTTTACTTAATAATCTATATATATATTCTTTTTAAATATTACGTCTGTTCGATATTATTTTTCATACAATTTAGCTTATAAATTATTTAAAATTTTAATTCCAAAAAATTATGAAAGAAATAGCACTTTTTTCCTAATTGTCAAATATTTTCAATTATTTGGCTTCTTGCATATTCGAAAATTTTCTCATGTGGCCATAATAATAAACTTCACTGAAAAATAATTTAAAAAGTTAATTAAAGTCCAAATTAAAAATCTATGAATAAATTATAAATTGCATGGTTATAAATTAAATAAAATTATTTTTTTAAATAATTTTTTACTGTTCATATTATTTTAAAGGCTATTTATCGTATATGTAAAAAAATATCGAACTGGTTAACTAATCTAAAAATTATTATCTTTGCATTATTTAATTGTTCATACACCAAGTGTTAATCTAATATTCTTTTTTTGCTAAATTGTTCGGAAATATTTAAATTTTTATTGCGTTTTTCGTAAAAACAAAAAATCAATTGAAATTGAAAAATAAGAAACTTTATTTTTTCTTAATCTTCTATTTTTAAATTTATTCTACTTAAAATTAAATTATATTTTTCATTGTACATAATGCATACACGTACATATGTATATCATGTGCCATGAAACTATCATTTTTCATGTTTTTAACTTTTATACTTCTTTTAAACTTTAACTACATGTTATATAAAAAAATACTGACAGAAAAAAATGTAAGTAAATAAGAAAATTTAATACGATTTATCGGACTAAAAAATATCGGATTACAAAAGTTTTTTCAATGTTAATAATGCAAAAATATACGAATTAATAATTTCGAAAATTTCGATAAAAATTAATTGTTTGAAAAAAAAAATACATGTTACTTTAAAAATTTGAATCTTTAAAATTCAAAAAAGAAAAATTTGAGAAGATAAGAGATGAAAACATTTTATTCTAAGGAAATTTTAATTTTGCAGCATACATTTAGGAGGAGTATCAAAGAAAGAAATTTCAATATAAAAATAATATAGAGATTTATTAAATAATATAAGGCAATTTTCATAATCTAATTAAAATTATATGTATAGCATTTATTATTTTCGAAATTACTAATTAAATAGTTCTTTAAATTCTAGAATAATTTCATGAATTTCAATTATAAAATGAATTT